TAGAATAAAGGCATGTTGTTTCAGCATACATATTTTTTTTTGTATTTTACGGCTTACTCTTATATCCCTTGGTTTTTGCCCCACAAATGAAGTGTGCCGAGTGGCAGGCCAGAGGAGAAGGGAATGCAGCCACCAGGGACAGACACTGTCAGTGAGGGACATGTCCACTATCTGACCTGGCAGGCGTGGCTTATGTTTACAAAGGTCAGTTCAGGTTGGGCACAGTGGCTCACATCTGTAATCCTAGTACTTTGGGAGGCTGAGGCAGGAGGATCACTTGAGCCCAGAAGTTTGAGACCAGCCTGGGCAAGACAACACAGTGAGATCTTGTCTCTACAAAAAATAAAGATCAGTTTGGCCTTTCAAGCATTTCAAAATAGAACTTGACACCTGGGATAACAGTGTTAAAAAATATTGGAAAAATTTCACTGTCTTCAAGCCTTTGCAAAATTAAACAGCTCCTTGCCAGGTGTTATGATCCTCGTCTAATTCGCCTTGTCTAACTGTTGCAGGACATGCGTGCGTATGTAACTAGGAATGTGAGACACTGTTCCTTGAAACGTTTTCTGGGGAAAAGCTACAGGCCTGTGGTGACAAAACAGACAGCAAGGTAGCGTGTCCTAAAGACGCAAGAGGCAAGGGAGGGCTGGCTGGCAGACCACCCTCTGTCACTGCAGCCATCTACAGGCTCCCCCCCACCACCCTGCTGTCAGCCTGGGGGTTGGGAGACCTCAGGTAGGTTCTGTGGCTGAGCTTGAGCTGGGTCTAATCCACTTTACTGTGCTTTCCATGGGAAGGACCCAGGTTTCGGATTGACTGGCTTAGATCATTTAAGGGGCCTGGGGAATACGGGCTGTTCTACAATTGTTTGGTTTCTGGCCTGGGGATTGGGACAGGTACATAATGGCCCCAAGTGTGAGAGCCCTTTAATAAAGGAGGTGTCAGGGAGAGGGCTCTGGATTAGATGCTGTGTTCTCCATGTACGGCCAACTGCAGCCTCTCCCAAAACCTTAGCAGATGGTTTGCTCTATGCTGCATTCCAGAAATAACTTTTGCCCACTTGGAAAGGAGCCGGTCAATTATCAGGAGCCATCTGTATTTGGGTGTTGCTGTCTGTTTCCTCACGCTTCCATGACCAGGAACTGCCTTGACCTGTGCTGTGCTGTCTGTGGTGGGTATAAATCTAATTTCCTACAGTCTTTTCAAACTATACAGCTTGCATAAATCTACCGCTGTCTTTATACCAGGTCCAAGTGGGTAAATGAAAAGTTAAAACATTTAATCAGGCCAGACGTGGCGGTTCACTCTTATAATCCCAGCATTTTGGGAGGTCCAAGGCAGGTGGATCACTGGAGCCCAGGAGCTCAAGACGAGCCTGGATAGCACAGGGAGACCAACCCGCTAGAAAATCATTATAAATAAATAAATAATTTTAAAAAGAAAACATTTGCTTGGTGCAGTGGCTCATGCCTGTAATCCCAGCACTTTGGGAGGCCGAGGCGGGCAGATCATGAGGTTATTAGTTTGAGAACAGTCTGGTCAACATAGTGAAACCTTGTCTCTACTAAAAATACAAAAACTTAGCCAGGCGCCTGTATTAGCCTGTATTAAGTGTCATGCACCTGTAGTCCCAGCTACTCAGCAGGCTGAAGCAGGAGAATTACATGAGCCTGAGAGGCGGAGGCTGCAGTGGACCAAGATCATGCCATTGCACTCCACCCGGGTGACAGTGTGAGGCTCCATCTCAAAAAAAAAAAAAAAAAAAAAGGGAAAAATGTCCGGGCGTGGTGGCTCATGCCTGTAATCCAAGCACTTTGGAGGCCAAGACGGGCGGATCACCTGAAGTCGTGAGTTCAAGACCAGCCTGACCAACATGGTAAAATCCCATCTTTATAAAAAAAATAAAATAAAAAGAAAGAAAACATTTAATCAGACTTCTGGGTAGACAAAATGAACCATTCGGGTGTTCCCAGACACCCAACTGTTGAGCATAACATAGACGCGTCCTGAGAGCATGTCACTTCTGTGTCTCTTATCATTTATCAGACATTCTAACCCCCTAAAAGGTAGAGAAAGTCTTATTTCATGAACAAGTCATAGTAAAAAGATTATACTTTACGGGCACCAAAAGAATATGAAGTTAATTTTCCTCCTTT